AAGTTGATGAAATACCAATGTTTTACTTGTCTGAATCATATTGCAAATGTTTGAACTTGAAACAATTCATTTTGCTTTCAGTTATGTTTTGAAGACAGCTCATCAGATGATAAATAAATGGGTCATAAATGTTTTGTTCTGAACCACACAGCAGCAGCAATAATCTTGTTTAGTTTGAGGAGGCACGGCGAGTTCTGAAACTAACACTTTACCTTGATATTACTTTACTAATCTAACCTTCCAGAGGGTGGAACCTAGATTCTCTAAGCTTTTAGTAACTAACAGTTTCTGCCCGGACCCGAGTAAGGTGACAGACCGCCATCAGTCACTGTGACAGCTGGACTCTCTGAGTCAAAAAGCTGAAAACTGTGTCAGGTTTGGCCCCTTCACACCAACGGGGAAACCTCACAGTGTGGAAAACCAACGCCTGGTTTATCCACTTTAAAAACTCTCCAGACTGAAGTTTTATTTTGAAGCCTTGGTTTCCAGTTTGGGGTTGCCTTCTACCTGTGGCTTGATGCAGAACCAAGCGAGTCTGAAAACACGCCTTGGGGTTCCCTGTTTGATGATCTTGAAGACGGATGCACCAGCAGCACCCCCGATACCTGGCAGGTGACCGAAAATCATCTTTAAGGAAAAACGCTGGCTGTGTGTGACCTCGAGGTCTGGCTGACGCTGAGTAGAACGCTTCGCCCTTCTGGTTAAACCACATTATTTAAGATAAAAGTTAAGAAAGCTAACACCTTACTTTCCTCCTTTTMCTRAAACTCTTCCTTGCCAACCCTAAGATACAGCCTCAAATGTCTGGTATTTAACATCTAAGCTGACGTTTGTGTTTCTATTTAAGTGTGGTTAACAATTAAGAAGTTAAAAACTTGTTATTGTTGGACCCAAAACTTTTTATGGGAAATTATTTGTTCACAGTCAAGTGTACTCTAGTGATTCTGTATGATTTGTAAAAAAAAAATGATAGTAATATTTATGGATCAAATCAACATTCACTGACAGAGTTACTTCTTATGTGTCCATTCATTCTGCACTGGAGGAATGTTTACCCAAAATAAAAGTGATCCCTTGCTAAATAAATTACTCTTATAACTTTGTTATAAGAAGTGTAAGATGAACCCTTACACATCTTGCTGCAGTAAGTGTAAATATAAAGTATTTCATGTAATAAGKGTTCACTGAAAGTAATCACTCACATTAAGTCTAACGTACATAACGTAATCAGACATACCTGCCATAGATGCAGTGTTGATAATAGCACCTCCTCTACCTCCACTCTGTTTGCTCATGTGCTCCAGAGCGATGTAGGTGGCCCTGATGACACTCATCTACAATACAGAGTTTATAGACATCAAACATGTGACCCATCATGTCAAACCCAGGATTAAGTTGCAAAGTGCTGTGTGGAGAAATGGACAGTTAAAGTGCCAGTAACATCGATTTTAACAAACATTAAAGCACTTTTGGAAAGATGACACTGAAAACATAAATGCACAATAAACTCCATGCAGCTGAGATGAACAGTTGTTGAGATATTTGTATGAGAAGTAACAGGAAGTGATGTCACAGGGGAATGTCTGAATGTGAGCAGAGCATTGCTACAAGAGCCGACGACACAGACTGAAGAGAATCTGACGTTTCTTTACATTATTTTGAGCCACAATCAGAGATGAAGTCAGTTCAAACAACAACAACAACAAACAAGAACCAAAAGAAAACATGCCAAATGTGACAAAATGGGTAAAAATCATGTTTTTTGCCATGTTTCTTTTTTACATACAAAAATAACTGTATTTGAAGGACACTTTAAAACGTTCCCACAATTGCATTTTGTCTAAATAATAATGAATACTCCAAATATTCAAATACTGTCTGAGGTTTCCCCTTTAAAATGAAAATAATTAGAATAACCTAAAAATATCGATGAGTTATCCTGATTAAGACAAACCAAGGCGCATCTGTGGAATCACTCATAACAGGAATCAAAATAAAACCAGAATCCTTAACTTTTAAATTTGATTACATTCGACCTCACAGTACGCTTTTTATTTCTTTAAACATGTGGTTTTATTTTTCTTACCAGGTTTATAGAGATGGTTTTATCCCACCTGCTCTCATTCACAATGCCAGCGTTGTTGCACACGATGTCTATTCCTCCAAAAGTTTCAACAGTTTTTTTAAAGGCAGCTGAAAAAACCAAAAGTTAATGCTTGAAATGGATCTGTATTTCAGCAACTCCTTGTTTTTATTAGAACACATTTGTCACTAGTGTTTGTGTTCTACCTTTGATCTGCTCCTCGGATTCAACGTCACACTTCACAAACAAAGTTTTTCCAGCTCCGTGCTTTTTATTCAGGGACTCCAGCAAACTCTGTCCTGCAGCCTCGTTTATATCCAGGAGGACCACCTGAAAACACCAGGAGCATAAATGAGACCAGTATTTATCAAACTTCTTACAGTAGAGTTTTAGACTTAAGTGCTGAAAATTTATTAGATTTGCTCCTTCTCTCAGACTTAAGTGTAAGTGCCAGTTATTAAAATTCTTCAGTCTAAGAGTCAGTCTTACTCTGAAGAAAGGTTCAGACTGCTCCACAGGACTCTGTGTTCAGAGTTGACACTAGGGCAGTGAAGACCGGTGGATTTTTCTCCAGGGGGCGCTACAACTCCAATAGATGTGTCTCAGAAAATCAAGTTGTATCACACCAGTGTATGAAATGAAAATAATAAAACAGCATTACAATGTCATGTATTACACACACACACACACCCACACACACACACACTTATATAAAATAAACATAACGTAATAATTAACCCTAAAGCTGCAACAATTTGTTGCTATTAAAATAAATTGTTTTCATATTAAATATATACAGTATTATAAAGCTCTCTTGTTGCCATCTTCACATTGAATTAAATTTGTGTATTTATTGTTTTAGGTTCATGACATCATCTTGAGACATTCACAAACATCTGATCAGAGCTACAGTGCTGCAGACAGACAGGTTCCTGTAGGACAGTTCTCTGAAGACCATGGAGGCTCACCCAGTGCTGAACAGGACCAAGAAGTCTGATGTAGTTCAGGAGCTGCAGTGGTGCTGTGGCTCTGTGCCAGCTGCTCTTCATGGAGAACAATCTGCAGGACACCTTCAGAAACTGTGACTCTGCTGAAGGKTCTCATCACATCTCCTCTGACCACAGCTGAATCTGAGAGGGGCTTCAACACTGAAGAGGATCCAGACTTTCCTCAGGTACAACATCACATCTCACTGCACTGACCATGCTTTACAGTACGGAGCCCGCCGGGGGTCAGTGGTGAAAAAAGAAAAAAAAACAGCCACCAGAAATCCATGCGCACGGATTACTAAACCGTGCGCTCAGTTTACTAAACCGTGCGCTCAGTTTACTAAACCGTGCGCTCAGTTTACTAAACCGTGCGCTCAGTTTACTAAACCGTGCGCTCAGTTTACTAAACCGTGCGCTCAGTTTACTAAACCGTGCGCTCAGTTTACTAAACCGTGCGCTCAGTTTACTAAACCGTGCGCTCAGTTTACTAAACCGTGCGCTCAGTTTACTAAACCGTGCGCTCAGTTTACTAAACCGTGCG